GTTCTTCTGCCGCACTTGGAGGATGTCCATCGTCGACTCCCAAGTCACCCAACGCCTCAGCAAAGGGCATAGACTTGGGGGTTTCAGTGTTTAGGGTGTAGGGTTTAGGGTTTAGGGACCCCAAAAGTAGGTAAATTAATGGCCTCTATGGCTATTATTATGGGTTTAGGGCTATTATTTTACGTACTTTTGGGGTCTAGGTAGGTCTTAGGGTTCAGAGTTCAGGGCTTAGGGTTTAGTGTAGGATCCTAAACAAGTGCAACGGGGCCGTGGGATACATTATACCATGGGTTTATATGGGTTGTTGGTGAATGATATTGGCAAGTATCCAGGCTTCTAGATTACTACTGAACCCTAAACCCTAAACCCCAAATAAATCCGAAACCGCGTGGTACCGCTGAGGGTTTGGCCCCCTGGCTGTCTCACGTTTCTGGAGACCCTTGGTCTTTGTAGCTCAGTGCTCCTCAGGATGTCTTACCTTCCCTGAGACCCCAAAACTAAAGGAGAAAAGGGAGCCACAATTTTGGAAAGTCTGAGCATGCTTGAATTAAATTACGATGAAATATGTAGTCCTCAAGTAGATTTCGCCATGCTCAGAATACTTGCGCCTAAAGAACCAAGGAAGAGTGTTGTGGAATTCTGTGCAGCAACTGCTTTAGGGACGGGAAGGGCTCAGGTTTTGAGGGCTGTAGGAAGCTCTTCCCTGTGATGACTGCTTAAATCCCAAACCCTCCAAAAGTCGTCTCGATGAGCAATTTCAGGACTCCTGGCTCAGAGAGGGTACGAAACATTCTGCGGGCAAAAGGGCGGCCTCCCGGCAACTGGGTTACTGGTACCTGGACCCCAAAAGTATGTAGAATAATGGCCTTTATGACTATTATGATGGGCTTAGGGCTATTATTTTACACACTTTGAGGTTTAGGTAGAGTCTGAGACTGGAGTAGAACGACTCTTTTGGTGGAACAACCCTTAGGGTCTGTTTCGTCTAGGGTCTGTTTTGTCCTGCTGCTCACTTAAACGAGAGCTCACAGGACAACCTGGGGTATGTATTCTGGATCCTATACACAACAACTGCCCTTCGACCTTATAAAACCCCAGAAACACTACGCCTCAACTCCTAAATCTCTAGCAGCAACCCAGACAAGGTTGTGGCTTAGCCACTGCCGCTGAAATGGTTGCCAACTTGCAGGTCGAATTGCGACGGAAAGTCATAAACGAGCGCGGGTCAGGGTTCCGGGCTTAGGGTTTGGGAGTGGACCTTGCGGTTCAGGGGTTGGAATTCTAGGTTTAGGATTTGGGGGTTTGACGTTGGGGTTCAGGGGTTGGGCTGTAGGGCCTACATAGCGTTGATGGTTCAGAGCCCGGTGGGTGAGCATTCCAGTGTAGGTCGGAGGGTGTGTAAGAACTGGCCTTAGGAACGTTTGGATATGATGAAGGGAGAGTGAAGGAGTAGGATTGCACAAAATAGGCTTTGGGAGATTCATGTTGCCAGGCACATGACCCACAACAGAAAACTAAAGTGAATCGTAGGACCCGCAGAGCAGCAGCATATGCATTTGGGGGCGTAAGTCCGTGTCACCATCCTCGCGTCGTCTAAAATTTGTTATATTCAGTCACATGCCCTTAAACACCAGTTTAGCCCTAAACCCTTTAGACCGCTCGGGCTCTCGTCTAGGGCCCTAGCTAGCGGTATGAAAACATGCTGAACAAGCCGCGGAAGAAATGCACCAGCCGCCTCAGATTGGCTAAGAACACGCGCGTCTGAGTTTAGGGCTTAGGAGTTTAGACGTGGTTTAGGTTAAGGGCTTTGGGAACCGTCAGAGTAGAGGAACCTCGCTGTGCAAGGTATGCACGGCCCCTTTACATGACGATCCCTTACAACCTCCACGGTATTTAGGGTTTAGGGCCTTCAGGGTTCAGAATTATGGGGTTGGGTTCAGGGTTTGGGTTTGGGGTTTTTAGGTTTCAGGGTTTAGGGATTGGGTTTAAACCCAAATCTTTCCTTCGGAGCTCTTAGTCTGCTTTGCTTGGATTGTCTTCTACGTTTGTTTAAGGTTTAGGGTTAAGGGGGGTGGACGTTGCAGCCTATCAGGAGCTGAGACCCTGTCTCTGAGAAGAACAAGCTGTAGATCCTAACGCCAAAACCATATCTTCAAAACCCTATACCGACTGGAAATTCAATCCTTGTAAGCCGCGGAAGGAACCCTAAACCCTAAACCCTGATGCAGCTAACCTTTGATGGCCCCATGTCTGCTAAGGTCTTACTTCTAGCCCAAGTCCTGAGCTCGCAAAGCCCTTCCACCCTAAGCCCTAAACCCTATTCCCATCAGCTGGATGTAGACCCCAAACTCAAAAGTCGCCAAACCTAGCGAACAAGCGAACAAAAGCAAAGTCAAGCCTGGACCAAGGCCCTGTTGGTCAAAACCCTAAACCCTGTACCCTATAGACCCCAAAGTGTATCAAATAATAGCCCCAAACCCAAAATAATAGCCATTGAGGCCATCATTTTACATACTTTTGGGGTCCAGGTAGACCCCATAACCCTCAACCAAATTTTCTGCATAAGCTACCTTTTGAAGCGAGGTCGGGAGAGGACAACCGAATTTGCCCAGCAAACAAGTGAGCGTTCATCTAGACGCCTTAGAAAGTGCCATATTAGGGATTACATAAGGGACTACTATAGGGGCTATAAAGGGGGATACGAGGAATTTAGACTATAGCTTATATATCCTTATAAGCACAAGTTTCCATTTCATTTTGTGTTTTCTTTTCCATTTGATTCGCCATTATTAAAGGGTTTAGACTATGGCAGTTCTCAGATCGATGGATCAGGTGGCTGTTGCGGCTCACTGCAGCACGCACTGGCCGCGGTCGATGCAGCACTTGTTGCCTTCACCGCTCAAGAGGTGAGCATTGCTAAGTAACCCCAACCTCCACTATAACGTGGGCCGAGAACAGTCTTAACTTCGGATCCCCATTTGCGAGGTTGGGGTTATATAAGCTTGAGGCCTGGGCCTCATAGGGAATGAGAGCACGTGGAGGGGCAGCGGAACTTAGTAAGCAGCTTGGAAGCCCCACAAACCATGTAGTAACCCCAGCTATCCCCAGTATTCACCTCTTATTATATCCCCCTGACACTCCAAGTAGATGCTTCCAACGAACGAAATGCAAAGCGCTAAGCCTCCAGTGCAGAGGTGTCTAGCTTCGGATGGAGCACATAGAGTTCAGGGCTTGAGGTAGGCTTCGTTAGACGAATCAACAACCAAAGGGAAAACATAATGTACGATGGATGACAGCTAGGATTTCATACTGATTGGTGTAGGACTTGCAATGATAGAAAAACACAATTTCATATGATAGCGTCTTGGGGCATACTATACTATGGTTCTATGAGGAGAAGGGGCTGATACTGATTCAAACTGAATACGGCTTCCACATTGAGCGTCATCTTCCGCCGATTTCTTACGCGCCTTCGTGGCTGGCAGGGACGTAGATAGTAAGATTTTGCAAGGAGGGTGTTTGCCTTTGGGGTCACAGTTCACATGTTCTGCTTTCACAGCGCTCAGTGTAGTCTCGCCGCCACATCCAAGTTGGTCAGTGCAGTTCCAGGGTCTGGGGTTAGGGCTTAGGCCTTCAAATTTCGGGTTTCGAGTTGAAGTCCTGGCAAAGTAAGCTCCACATTGGCCTTGCTGTGTTTTTGTTGGTAGCGTCCGAGCCCAAACACTACACCCTTAAACCTCGGAACCTAAACCCTCGACGCTAGGCCCCGAACCTTTTACCTCAATCCACCCCCTAAATTCTGAACGCTAACCCCTAAACCCATAACCCTCAACCCCGAAATCCTTAACTTGTGGCTTACGGCCTCTCCTAACTACCCCCGATTCTTCTTGAACAACCTTTGTAAATGGGAACCTAGGGTGGTAGTCGGAGAATCCATGACGAAACGTTTCACCCCTCTAAACCCTAAATCCCTAAACCTTAAACTCTAATCCCTAAACCATGAACCCTAAAATCTAAACCCTAAACCCTATCGCTACATTCTAAATCCCTGAGCCCTAAATCCCTAAACCATGAACCCTAAAATCTACACCCTAAACCCTGTCCCTACATTCTAATCCCTGAGCCCTAAATCCCTAAACCATAAACCCTAAAATTTAAACCCTAAACCCTATCCCTACATTCTAAATCCCTGAGCCCTAAATCCCTAAACCATGAACCCTAAACCCAGTTCTTTCACTCCTAAACCGACCAGTGGGCCGAGTGGCGATCTGAAACTTCTCTGCTGTGGGCTGAGAGAAAAGTGCTCTGAGAACGGGCGCCGTGGGAGACCTTAGGGGTTCAGGGTTTAATGTAGACCCATGATTAATAAACCCCCTTCTTTAAAGGGCCGAAATATTAGGGTCCCTGTTATAATCCGGCTTATTAATCAGGGGTGTGGGTTAGCATGTAGGGCTCAGGGTTTAGGATTTAATTTTGGTTCAGGATCTAGGGTTTATAGGATGTAGATGTTAGGGTTTAGGATGTAGGGCTTAAGGTTTAGGTTTAGATTCAGGGTTTAGGGTTTAGGATGTAGTGTTTAGGGTTTAGGATGTAATTGGGGTCCAGGATTTAGGGTTACGGATGTAGGGCTTAGGTTTCGGATTTGATTAGAGTTCAGGATTTAGGGTTTAAGGTTTAGCGACCCGAACCTCAGCGCTTGGGCCCCCAAATCAGTGGCCTTTCTAAGGTTATTGGGGACTGTTAGGGCTTGTTAAGGCTTATAAAGCCCTGAGCGTTTTTTGGGTTGCATATTGGGGAGGTGCTCATGGTAATCCCATGAGAGATATCTTGTGGAGTTGCAGAACTCACAAGGATTATAGCCACCCTTAAGCAGATAGCATATGGCTTTGGGTATACTATACTAAGATCCCCATATACCCCATATTCTAGCTACTAAAGGGGGACTATGGGGCCTATCAAGGCTCGGGGTTTTCGGGTTATTTTCTTTGCAGACAGACGGCTCACCGGGCGCGTTCTGAGGCTTGGGCTTTTATGCAACTAAATGCAGCTCAGATGGGAGAATGCGAGATCCGGGAAGAGCTGGCACATGAGCTACAATCAATATTTCCCGTACCATATATTAATGGCACACCAGATGGAAAAGAACGTGAAACATGAAATGGAACAAGTTTTTGTACAGATATCTATACGGGCTAGTATTTCCCAGACAATCGATGGACATGGGTACCTGTTAGGGAATATATTATACGGGATCATGCTAAACTACCAAAAGACCCCCTGTGTCCACCCTTAATGCTTGTCTGGTAAGCCGAGTACTGACAGTAGCTCACGTGAGGACCAGCCCAAAAGGACGCAGCAAATGCACATCCACTAAGTCTTCTGTATTTTTCGCAGAGGAGCATGGAGCCCCATCCCTACCGTAGCAGACTTGTCTGGCTACCTCCTGATAACATTGATGACGCATCAGTAGTTTCAAGATTATTTACCCGCGCAATAGCAAACCCGTGGAAGTTCTTACTTGCCCGCGGCCCATTAGCAATTGCATCTTCTCACGCCTCCTGACCGAAATTAAGGACACCTGTCCCTAGAAGCCCAAGTACCCATGTAGTAGGTTCTTGGGTTATAGATAGTATAAGTTTATATAAGGACCCAAGGACAGGAACCCAATATATGTAGGTAACTGGGCTTCTAGGGTGTGATAGGATTCCAATAACTTCTACAAGTGCGAATGTAAAAGGAGCCTGGTGTTTGGGAAATTTTCGCTGACCTGTCTTACCCAGACACCCTAAAGGATCCAAAAAATGGAACCCCCCCCCAATATGAACCCATTGCTACATTGGGGTAACTAGGGGATTATTACGGGGTTCCATTTTTTGGATCCTTTAGGGAGTCCGGGTAGGTACCACAAGACGCCAGTCGTGTTCATAAGAGTGAAGCTGAGGAACTACAGGATATTTCCAGGATTCAACCTGGCTGGGATTTTCTCATCTATGATGTGAAGCCTATTTCCTTAAACATTGCGGTAAATGCGCTCACTGCGTGTGACGCTGAATATACTCGTGTGCAGTAATTCATAAATGTCTGAAGTTAGAAGTATGGGCTCTTAATATGGGCCTTTGGCCTTTTAAGGGGGATTCCAGGGACCCTTTAGGGTTCATAATTATAGGGTATATAGTAGGTATATGACCCATTGTCTAAACTCCTAGTATCCCCTTTAATATAAGCCCTATAGTAGTCCCCTATATAACCCCCTATATAACCCCCATTAAGGAGTTTAGACTATGGCTCATATAGGGTACATAGTAGGTATATAAGGATCCAAGGGTTAAGGGCCCATGAAAGGTGCCTCATGGCTTTAACCTGAGAATCAAGGGGCCCAGTTCTCAGCATAGCCGCCATCCTCCTCGAGCTGCCTCAGGCTTTGCTTCAGGGATTCCCCCTTCCCCAAAAACAATAGGGTTTAGGGTTTAGGGTCTCCCCCAAAAACAACATAGAACTTGAAAAGGGTAGGTTTAGGGCTTAGGGTTTGAAAAGGGTAGCATCGCAATCGCTGCCCTTTTAAGGGGTGCTTGCTTGGGCCTGCTTCGACGAAGTTATCACCATAAAATCTTTCATAGGCCCCATGTCCCCTTAGGATCCGTTTTGCTCTCTTCTTTTGACGATCCTCTTAGGCTCTGCGAGTGCAAGCCAACCAACATGCAAGACTCAGAGGGGACCTACAAAGACGACTTCCATTTTGAAGGGGGCCCGAACTGCAGAACAAGGGGACCTATGACTATCAATATGGCTCTCACGGGGCGCGCTTTCCCTAAATAGGGAGACTCTAATATAAACCTTAATATACAGTAATCCGTATTTTAGGGACCCCCAAAACGCACCCTTAATTTGGGAAACCCTTACACAGCTAGGCCTCCATTGTAGTGCGTGGGGTTTACTGACATGGATCCCTCCTTCAGACCTGCAAGTCCTTCTCAACCCGTTTGCTTGACAATAAAACCCCGGCCCAGCGAACAAACACCGGGTGTAGGGAATAGGTACATATCATGGCGGGGAAACCCTAAAACCTAAAACTTAAACCCTAAAGCTAAACCCTAAGTATTGTGGGGAAAGTGTGTAGTCTGATGGGCGTTTTAATCCACTATTTTGCAGCCTTCGTCGCGCGGTACTTACTGTGCCTGATAAGACCAAGACATGTTGGGGTTAAGATCTATGGGTATAATAGGGTTTGAAAGTACATGTGGTGCATTTTCGGGGGGCCGAAGACAAGCCCCAACCAACAAAAAATACACAAACCAGAAAGGAAGGAGGGCCCCAATCAGTAAACCCCAAACTGGGTGCAGGAGAGAAGCTGTGGGGGCATGTCAAAGCCGACATCTCACAAACAGCCTGAAACCCACCCACGTGGTTTAGGGGTTTAGGGTAAACAGGAAGAGAAGCCCTCCAAAAATGCAGAAACACTCGAACAAGCTCGAAACACTAAGTCGTGAACCATGAACCCTGAACTTTAAACCACCCTAGACTCTAAAACCTGAACTCTAAACCGCAAGCCTCGACTTTAAACTCTGAGCCGTAAACCCAAAATATGCCACACTCTATACCCCGGACATCCCTGAACTATGAGTCAGTAGCCCCGCTGCGCACGCGCGATTCGCGCTCGGTTGGCAGCGGCCTCGGTGGCCTCCTCAAGCTTGGCCAACAATCCTCGGCGGCACCCGAAGGGCCCATGTACCCAAGGTTTAGGGTTTAGGGTTTAGCGGTTTAGGGGTTTAGGGGTTGAGGGTTTAGGGGTTGAGCAATGTCTTGGGGTTATATGGGATGGTGGAAAATAAGATGGAAACTACTATTTAGGGGTGGGGTTCAGGATTTCAGGTTTAGGGTTTGGGTCTTTAGTACTTGTGGTACAGGTTTGGGGTAAGTGTATGACTATTAAGTTCTCAGACTTTTCGGGACTTCTGGGAGTTTAAGGGGTTTGCACCCCAATCATAAGGGCATATATATATATAAGGTTTCTGTAGGGTTTAGACACGGGTTCTGTAGGGGTATATAGGGTTTAGGACAAGTAGAGCCCAATCATAACTGGTGTTTATAACCCAATTCAAACCTTAGTAATTAGTGGCCTTTGGAAGCTTTTATTTGCGTGAGAAATGCATTGAGAATTGGGTAAAAAGTACCTGAACTCCCAAGTCGGGGCTCACCCTTCCCCAGGGCTCAGGGTTTGGGTTTTGGGGGTGTGTCTTGCAAGTCTTGCTGGAAAGTTATGAATTGTTTTCCCTGGCCCCGCTGCGTTAAAATTGTGGTGCCTCGGCCTGAGAGGCTATTCAAAATCAAGGGGATGGCCGTATCTATTAGCCGCTTTACAAACAATCCCTTTCCCAAGCACTTAACATGACAAACTAGAAGAAAAGCAGACCCTTACGCCATCAATTAATTCAAAACTGCTACGTAACTGATCAGATTGCCTTGGGACTGCTGTATAAAACGATGAACAGCTATGAAATGAAAGAACCCCATTCTCGTGGAATTTCTTGCAATCATTTTGCACGCACTCCCGTTTGACAAACCTGTGAAGCAATAAAATTGAAAAAGAAGGGATGTCCTTAAATGGGAGGTTCCGAAAAAAACGTATACCATTTGGGATTGTCATAGCCTGTTCAAAAAACTAAGAAATGGAAGTGGTCCTTAATTCTGATTAGGGTCCTTGTGTGTTCGTTTATGAAAACCACTGTTATAACAACCATGTAAACAATACACGGAATACGCAATGAACAGGATGCCTAATCCCTTGGGGTTCTTTGTGTGAGCCCTTTTATGACATGAAAGCCCCCCAATGAATCATTTGGTTGGGTTTGATTGCCCTTTTTAAGCTAGTCTTCCGCTGTTGTTTCGGGAACGCGATGCTCCTGATTTTACGTTTGTTTTGTAGCAAAAATGTTATTAAACGCACACAAAACCAGCAGAACTGGCATGGTGGGCTTGGGGTTTGGGCACTTCAAAAAAATCTAAACTGTAGGCCGACGATGGGCCGAAGCAAAGCACCTCATGGAGGTTGAGCAGGGCATTTCGCTTGTCGTGCACTTCCAGACAAACAAGAGACGCCCCGTAATCATGCATAAATTCGAGGTCATGCAGTACGGGTCCTGCAAGGGTGTGACACTGACCCAGCAAGCGGAGGTTTTTGGGATAAATATGTATGTAAAGTATGGCAACGTTATCATGCAACTGTAGCGTTTTTTCGCTTCCCAAACCCAACCCAGCTGTCCACATCTGGCACCAAGTCAAGGTATCACGTGGACTTTAACATGGGAACCCAATTTTTGACATAGGTTTCATGGGGTTCCAATTTGAAGTTACACCTGTCACGGTGTAACTGCCCAGGATCCCTGTAGGCGTTGAATCCGTCGAAGCCGCAGAAGGAAAACAAAGATTGAGGATGGCATGCCACGCCGCCACGCGATCATTTGGTTGCTTGGACACCTTTGCATGATGGCGGATCAAACGTCTTCAGTGCATATGGTCTAGCGCCTTGCTTTAATGCAATGTCGCACTAAGCCCACTTAGGAACAACATAACTACGCCTTCGCTCCGCCGCCGCGACCCAAACGAAATTACATTTTGCATGTCTGAAAGCCTCCCTGAGGGCAGCAAAAGGGAAGATGCACGTGTCTTCTGCAAATGGTCTCAGCTTCTTGCCTTTGCATCTCTGATTTGAAGAGCCGACATATTTAAAACGGTAAAGAACCGAAGGTGCTGGTGCTATCCCATTGTCCGTGGTGTCATGCAGGTTCTACCATTCCTGCAAATTCGCGTTGTCTTTTCCTGCTTCCCCTTGAGATTTCGGAATGACGAAATTGGCAGGAATTCAACAAGAAAATTTCGGCGCACTTCCAAAGTTTACACCATGAGGCCTGAACCGAAACAAACTTGTCATGTTGCAACGTTATCTCTTCATGTGAATGTGTCTCTTCTCATGTTTCCTCGGTCCATGGAAATGCGAGTCTAGCGTTCTTGTCTCAAGGGCTCATGGCCAGTATGCGGTGGACCGTGACAAGCCCAGGTGAGTGCTTGCCTTCCATTTGGGTGGCATATGGATGCTCAAAACGTTGAGATATGGACGCACACGAGTGGCCAACTTTGCGTCAGCATCCATCTGCGCTGGATTACAAGTAGGCCGTCCCCATCACAACTTTCTGATCACCCACCCTCCCTTCCAACACTGGCGCTTCTTTGCATGGGAATAGCTTTGCTCCGTCCAAGCGACTGGTCAATGGAAGACCACATGATTTTCTTAACAAGACGGAACTCGGGTAAGTTGGTATACTGTATGAAATCCCACATCGGTCATGTATAGCTGTGATACGGTGCAAAAAAAATTGTCTGATGCCAATCTCTTCATTCGCAAGCAGAAATGTGCTGTCTTTTATGCATAAGCGGAAATTTGAATGTTTCCCAGAATGTTTATGTTTTTGACCCTCACGTACCCCAAACTATTAAGCGTTTACTACCAGTACGGCCTTCCAAGAATCGACCCCTAATTTTTGGAAACACCACCTAGGTAGAGATAAACACACATTACAAATGGAAGAGTGTACGGGCAGTTCCCAAACCCTAAACCCTAAACTTGTATGCCATGGCAACGCCTTCAGTTGAGATGATTAGGTGGCGTCCTCCTTGCAACCGTATACATAGTAGTTCCATAAACGGGCAAACTTCAATATGGACTCGTTAATGCTATAAACCCTTTCAAGCGGGCTCCTAAACCCCAAACCCTAAACCCACATACAACCCCAACTGCATTGTTGATGTGGCTTTCGGGATGACAGCCGTGAAAAAAACGTCCAGTTCCCGCCATCCGGCTATCAAAGCAAAGGGTGGGATTTCAGTGACCCCAACCCAACCCCTATAATAAGGACCATATAAGTGGCACTATAAGTCTCGCTTAGCATCATCATCTGACTATCATGGGTCTTGATTGCAGCGGTTGAGGCCACCAAATTTCAGCCTGAAGCATAAATATCAATGCAAGCAAACCCTGACATGGCAGGAACTCGTAAGCGCTTGAACACACTAAACCCTAGGGTTTAGGGTTTAGCACTAAACCCTACGCAAACCCTAAACCCTAAGGCTAACTGTCTGAACGTGGCAACGTTTGCATAACGCGTTCGGCGATGCCTACCAAAGCAACACGTCCTGCCTGACACCTCTAGCCTTGAAATCATGGGTTCCCCTAGTACCCCCCCTCTATACTACCCCCTCTAGGTTCCCCCGTTAAAAAAAAAGTTGTTTAGGGACCGTCAGCCTAATTAAGGTGAATTAAGGAGGGAACCTAGGGGCGGGGTAGTATAGAGGGGGGTACTAGTTGAACCCATGATGATACCCTAAACTCTGAAATGTCAACCGCTTGACCGGGTTGCTGTTAAGGAATTTAAGGGTTTAGGGTTTAAGGTTTAGGGTTATGATATGGGCATATAGGAAATACTAGAGCTTCCTTGTGCCTAAACCCTAAATAATAACTTAATCTAAGTTCCTGAACAATAACCCGACTGAAACATCTAGGAGACCTAGCCCCCAAAGCAACCGCTAGAGACCCCTATATGAGCTACAGTTTACACTCCTTAAAGGGGGTAAATAAATAAATATATATATATGTATATATATATATACATACATAGGGGGTTACATCGAGAATATTACGTGGGTTATTGAGGTTGTCTTTACTAGGGATTTTCCTCAAGAATGCTGGTTCCTTATGGGGCTCACATTCGGAAATCTAGTTTGAGGACGAAACCCCCAAACCCCAGACTCTAAACCCGAAACCCCCAAACCCTCAAACCCTATCCCTGAGAATCCCAAACCCAAAAGCCCTTAATGCCAAGCCCTAAAACCCCGAAACCCTCCAACAAGGACCCAGCTTTTAAACAGGGGTAAATTAGAATAATTTCACTTCGAAATTTACGGCCATTTTGGTACTATTCCCTATATCAACCACTAGTTAGGGCGCGGTCGTGTGAGGTCGCTTTGAAATTCCCAGTTTTGAAGCCCAGATTCGCATCCTCTCCTCCCCCAAAGCACGCTGCAGGCCTTCACATCGGCCGAGTGCCTGTCATGCTGGAAGGGGCTTTCTGTTCAAGGTTGCGGGCTTAGGGACCCTAAGCCCTAAACTTTTAAGGCTTAGTCAAAAGAGTATGGGCTTTAGGGTGCAGCGTTTAGGGTCCATGTTTTAGGGTTCAGGGCTTAGGGTCTCGCTTTCAACGCTGTAAGGGATCGGGCTTAGGGATTAGCATCAGGGTTTGGAGTTTAAGGTTTAGGGTTAGGGAGTAGATGCCTACAATACTCCTGAGATAATCCCCTATATTACTCCCTGCATATCTCCTCCACTCCAGCATGAGTAAGCTGCGGATGGTGCAAAACTCAGAGCTCGGTAATTCAACATGTGTGGAGTTGTAGGGTTTGGTCTGGAGTTTGGGGTTTAGGGTTTAGGCGCTTCAGGACTCTTTGATCCTTCTGGGCTCCATATATGGGTTGGGGCAATGAGCAACGTAAACCCTAAACCTCAACCTTAAACCCTAAACCAGGGAATGTGATACCACTCCGGACAAGCCCAACCGCACTCCTCCCTAAGCTGCCAACCTGCCCACTAGAGCTTGAACACACAAAATCTTTGGATGCCAAAAGGCGCAAAGAAAGAAGGAATAGTTGCACCATAGGAGAATACCACTGAAGTGTCATTTGGGTCCTGACACGAAGTACCAGCCTATAATAGGAGTAATACTAAGGGTTATATACAACCACAATATAGATATTCATCCAACTGTTGCTGGGTGGGGGCAGGAAGCAAAGTATTATACAATTCTGTAGATGGCACAATAGACTTCGACGTCATGTTGATGTCTAAATGAGGTGCCCTGTACCATAGTTGCACAAGGAATCTAGGACTACAACAGTACCAGGACCCTCCTAGTGCCCTAACAGTGGGTACTTAGGCCCTAATAGAGGGTAGGAGGAGGGTCTAGGTAGTAAGTTTTCGGCCCCTAAACCCTAAACCCGTATGTTCTGGCAACTAAGGATCCCGATGCATCCCCCTTTGGAACACAACCTCAACTGACGAGACCACGAATTATCCAAGCCGAAACCTCAAGGCCTTAGTCCCCTGCAACCCAAAACCCTAACCCTAAACCCTAAACCCAAAACCCTAAACCCAAAACCCTAAACCTGCACATTTTTTGAGAATTAGGTGCCCTAAAGCCTGAAGCCATGGCCCCAAACCCTGAACTCCTCGCCTTCAACCCGTAACTCCTACCTGGACCCCAAGAATATGTAGAATAATGGCCTTTATGGCTACTATTATGGGTTTAGGGCTAATATTACATACTTTTGAGGTTTAGGTATCCTTAAAACCTAATCCCTATTAACCTCTATATTCCCCAAGAGTTCATGTCATGTTCCATGTTCCTTGCCATTCGACTCTCCACTATAACGCCCATCAAACTGTAGGAAATGAGGTCCAAACCCTAAACCCTCAGCCCTAAACCCTAAACCCTTAGCATTTTTTTCCGACCTGGCCTCCTCAACCGATCGAGACGGCTCTAGGACCGAACTCTCTGAAGGCCTCTGCAGCACCCTAACCACGTGGAGCTTGGGGTCTTGCAGCATTGGGGTTTGGGGTTTAGGGATTTGGGTTTAGGGATTAGGCCTTCATTTCCTGCTGCTTAAAGGGAACGTGAGGAGTGGATCCCTATAGTAATCCCTGTAAAAGGCCCATATACATATATATATATATCTTTTGGAATGATACCTATATTCATCATAACAATCCCTATAAAATGCCCATCTAGAATGATACCTACATTCATTATAAGAATCCCTTAAAAATGCCCAAATATACCCCCTATAACGGTACCTATATTCACTCCTCCACTCCGCATTAAGCACCAGTAAGTCTAGAGGTTTTAGGGTGAAGAGGGGCTCTGCCAAGTTAGCTGTGCTAGGCTCAAAGTCATGAACAGCAGCTCAGGTTCCAAGGGGGCACATTTTCTACGGTTTAGGGTTTAGGGTTTAGGGTTCAGGGTTTAGGGTTTAGGGTTCAGGGTTTAGGGTTAAACACCCTAAGGGTCCAAGTACCTAATAATCATATATATACTTACCCAAAACCCGTACTACAATCGCTATTACCCAAAACCCGAGTACACAATGATTGGGTGCCTTGACCCTCTGGGTTACTTGGAACCCCAAATATGCAGAATAATGGTCTTTGGGTGACTGCTTTCAAGCTTGTTGGAGCCGTATCTACCTAGTTCTGAAGTCCAGGCGTCCAGGTAAGCCTGAATACTATCTGGGTTGGCCCTTGGAGCTCTGCGAAACAGATTAGTATGCAAAGCCTCGCGGACTCAACCAGGGAGACTTGCCTAGCATCCGAAACGCTAACTTGCCATTTGAGCTACTGTCTAAACTCCTAGTATCCCCCTTAGTAACCCGAACAGTAGTCCCCTATATAATCCCCTACATAAAACCCCCTTCAAGGAGTTTAGATTATGGTACGTGCGGTGCGTCTACCCGTAGGATAACCTGAAACATTGAACTTTGACGTGCTCAGAAACTCTTCATTATCAAGGTCATGTAGCCCGTTTAGCAGATTCCGAGCCCCGTAAAACGCGTAAAACTAAGCCCGTCGCCCTAAAAGACGGCCACTCTTGATGGTAAACAGTTTAGAATGGTACTATATAGGAGGTTTTATAATCGGGGGGCAGGGTTACCCCGTGTAAAGTTGAGTACCCGATCCACTATGGCACCGTGTAGCCCCAAACACTTGATAAAAAAACCAGACGCTAAACCCGAAATTCTAAATCTTAAGCCCCAGACCCTAAGCCCCGAACCTTCAGTTCCAAACCTTAAGACCAAAAATCACTCACAATTGGGATAAAACGAAACTTCCCAGATGCTCCCTTCAAGGCCTTCCCACGTGCGTCTCCAGGTACCGAGTCAATGCATCGAGCCGCCGTGCCAAGTCTGTTTGCTGGGGCACGATCTCCACACCTTGAGGGCTCGGGGCGCACATCGTTTTGCTCACTGACTGGTGGTTAGTAGACAAATGGGAATATGTCATATAGGGATTATATAGGGATAGTATTCCCTCATTCCCTACTAACAACCAGTAAGTTTAGGGTTTAGGGTTTACTGTTTAGGGGTTTAGGCTTTAGGGTTCCATTCGTCCTCCGGTCTGTATCCTTGGGCCAAAGATGGACATGCAGAGTCTGAACGCTTTGGGAGCCGCACCATCTCAAAAGTTACTTGCAGAATCTCCGTATGAGCTATATACAGTCAATATTTCCACGCAATGAATGGAAAATCGGTGGAAGCGTGGAACATGAAATGGAAATTGGGATTAAAGAAGGGATTATAGGGATGAATATTTCCCAGATCACGAATGGACATGGATTCCTACTAGGGAATATGCTGGAGACTGTGCAAAACGGCCAAAGGGAACCCTATGTCCACCCGGAAAAAACTAGTATTGACAGTAGCTTATACATGGAACCCTAGACCCTAAGCCTTAAACCCTAACTGCAGCAATCACTTCCCCGGTCCTCCTTCAGCAACAGTAACCCTAAGGCTCAAAATAGCCCAAAAGCATTTTATTCTATGGTCTTTGGGCCCAAAAGCCTCATGTGAGCCATTGTCTAAACTCCTAGTAATAGTAGTCCCCTATATCATCCCCTATACAACCCCCTTTAAGGAGTTTAGACTATGGCTCATATTACGAATCCTTAGAGCCTCCGGGTGAGGCAGTACATGATGCGGAGAGCTTGTCTGGAGTGGTTACGAATATCTGAGCGTAAAACCCTAAGGGTCCAAGTACCCCTATATAGAAACCCTACAGAACTCCGATAGAACCCCTATAGAAACCCTATGAACTCCTATAGAGCCCTAAGGGTCCAGGTACCTAATAATCATATACTTACCCAAAACCAATACTATAGTCATTATTACCCAAGACCCAAGTACCTAATTATTGGGTACATGGACCCTTTGGGAAACATGTAAAGGGAACTTGACTGTTGCTGGTTTGAAGGACTACAAATGACAAACCGTAGACCCCAGCCCATGAACCTTAAACCCTAAACACTACCTAAACCCCAAAAGTATGTAAAATAATAGCCCTAAACCCATAATGATAGCCATAAAGGCCATTACTCTACATACCTTTGGGGTCCAGGTAAACCCTAAACCCCAAACCCTGCTGAGATTCATCAACTCCAAGGGCTTCCTGTGAGTGATGATTCACATTTCTGCAGATGGGCTCTCTGTAGCCTTCAATACGGGTGGTTGTCAAAATGATGGGCCCTTTTTGGATCCCTATTACAATACGGCACCTCATATTTAGGGTACCCAAGAAGGGCCCATAATTTTGACAACCACCCATGTGGATCCCAAGAATGCCCTGAGAATCCTTACATGTCTCTAGAATTTCATAGGCCCCTCAAGTTTTGAGACGCCCCCAAAGTGCCCTGGCCCTCAAACCCCCAGGACCCTGGACCCAACTCTTGCCGCCCAGGCACACAGGTTGCAAACCTTGGCTGCTCTGCTTCTCGAGGCTTTGAGGGTTGCACTCGGTTTGTACTTGGAGGGTCAAGGGGACTTAGTAAGTAGATTTATAACCCCTACGAACCATACAATAACCCTAGTTATCCTCATTACTAACCTACCTACCAAGTCCCCCTGACCCTCCAAGTACCAATTGATCGAAGGAGCCTTTTGTTTACGCTTTAGGGTTTAGTGTCCCATCGTAATTAATCCCTTCCCCCTAATAATAAACGACGTCCCCCCCCTAATAATAAATAATCCGGGGGGTCAGA